AAAAGAAAAACAAGCTGATGACTCATTTTAAGTTAATTAAGACAACTTATTCAACTAGGTATCCAAAGAAAAAAAAGTTATTCAACTATGCTATTATAAAAAATAAATTACTACAAAACCCGGTCGTAAAGTTGAGATGCTATTTTTATAGCAACTTGGAAAATATTTCTGTTGTTCTGAATTTATTTTTTTTCTGTCAGATAAAACTGAATTGATCTCGTTACAACGATAATAAGAGAAAGAAAATATTAATGAAATATATCCGTTTACAATTTTTATAATAAAATCAGAAATATTAAAATCATATATAAAAAATGGAGAAGGATCCGTTTACAATTTTTTTTTGACAAATTACACCAAGTATGACCGGTCATATACTCTTGATTGAAGTATGACCGGTCATACTTAATGTAGTTTGTAAGAGTTTGTAAATATAACATTTCTCATAAAAAATATTAAATAAATTTTAAAATATTAAATTAAAAAATGCATTTAAAGTTATAAAAAGCATGTATAATTAATAAATTTTAAAAATTTAATTTTTTTTTTAGATAGTACATAGAATTGAACAGCATGTATAAATTAAAAAAATCAAGCTTCTTTCAAAAGAATGTATCAAAAGAATGTACCATAAATATGCCTTAAATGTATCCTAATTTAATATATATATATATATATATATATATATATATATATATATATATGGAAAAAATATTTGTCATTTTAAGAGAGAGACAGACACATAATTTTTTTTATTTAAATTTTAAATTAAAAAAAACTACTCACTTTCTCTCTCCTATGATTTCTATTTTTCTATGTCTATCTCTTTCCTAAAATGATATAACTTATGTCATTTAAAATGACAAATATCAAACCCTATATATATATATATATATATATATATATATATATAAGGGATTCTATTTTCTCATGTTGTAAGAGATAGTTATCTCCTCTTACTATAGACACATGATGTGGTGGGTCTCACCCTTTATTAAAAACAAAAAAAATGATGCCGCAATTTTTGATGTGAGATAACATGAGAGAGAGTTACTCATATAAAATAAGATAATAATTTCCCTATATATAAACATATTATGAAGTTATCTTAGGACTGAAAGAAATATCATGTGCACCTTGTAATAAAATAAGAACTCGCTATTTTAGGAAATGAATTATTTTGTGAGGTACTACTATCTAATTAGTACATAAATTTTATTTTATTTTTTAAAAGAAAGAAAAGAAAAGAAAAACTGACCTGATTGTTGTGGCTGAGCTACGAAGGGTCCAACACAGTAAACAGGAGGAGCTTCATTGGGTTCAGGAAAACACAAACCCTCTGCTATGGCCTTAACCGCCACAGGTTCAAGCTCTTCAAAGCTGTTCACTATTATTCCATTTGATTTTTGAATGTGTGAGCAGAAATACAACATATCCCAATATGCAGGGTCGTCCCTCTCCAACATCGGTTCCGGCATGTGCACCGCCTTCAGCGGCGGCGGAGGCGAGTTACCGGGGACTCGAATCTCCACCTCCGCCATGTCCTTCAACGATTTCGGAGGCAGAATCTCGTGGATTCTGGGAAAGTAAGAGAAAAGTGCAAGAACGCCAGCACCCGAAGTGAAGAAGTAGTACACTGGGATTCCCATGGCGGTGGCTGATTCCATCGCCGAAGTGCAGAACAGGTCGATTACGAAGGCTTTGATTGTGGTTGTTGAGGTTTGTGAGATGTTTTTGAGGGTGGAAGTGACGTTGGCGGCGTTTTCTCGGATGAATTGGAAGGCTCTGGCGGCGAAGCTGTGAGTTCCGGCGGTGTTGAGGGCGGCGATGGGGAAGCGGATGAAGGAGATGGAAGGGTGGGAGGTGGAGATGCGGCGGATGTAGGCGTCGATGGAAGGGTGGTCTTGGAGGCCAGTGGTGAGAAGGATAGTGATGGTGCATTGTTGGTGTTGGAGGAGATGTTTGGCTAATTCAACCATTGACACTATGTGACCTATGCCTGGAGCTGGATACAGTACTATTGTTCCTTCCATCTTGGATTAGAGTAATCACAAGTCAACTAGTGATTAGTAATAGTGATTAGTAAGAGTGATGGTGGTGGCTACTTATCCCTTTTGTTTTTTGAGAAATAATAATACGAATATTCTAACTGCTAAAATTTTTTATTAGTAGCTTAGTACCCATCACATCATCACCAATTGTATCAAATAAAGAGAATGTTAAAAAAAATTTGAGGAGAGAAAAAATATTAATCTAATAATGATTGAACACATAATAAGTTGGTAGTGAAAAATTTTAATAATGAAAATATCACTCCTCTTATAGTATTATTGTTGTGTCTATAGCTTAACATTTATCTTACTAGTTAGTCAAGGTTGGCTTGCTTTATTGTATTTGTATTGTGGTGGACTGGTGGGTAAATGTTGTTCCATTATAATACGTTAACAGAACGTGGCCCCATCACGTTAGAATAAATCTTCACTTGCATCTGATGTATTGAACTTAGTGCACGTCTGTTCATTCATTTTATAACAAGTGAGTAAAAAAATATGATATTTTTTTTCACGTATAATAAAATAATTATATATATATATATAGAGATGTTAATGAGTCGAGCTAGCCGAGCCGAACTTTAGTCTTTAAAAACTAAGTCTGTATTTAAATGTGTCAGTGTGACCAATCTTGTTATGTTATAAATATAATTATCGGCATATATCTCACTTATTTATAAAAAATAAAAACATGTTTAGCCTGTTTAAAAAAAATAAAACAACAAAAATTCATCTAAACAGAATATACAATCAACAACACTAGTAATTCTGTAAATATTCATAAATTCAATGTATATCCAAACAGTATAATATAGAACAAAATCATTCAAAATAGTCTGTTTAACTAATAAAATGGGGTGAGGAGAAAGAGAAGACTAGACAAACCTGAAAGGCTCTAATGTCGAGCTTTTGAATTGGAGACTAGGACCTTTTTATTAAACGAGTTTTTGTACAAGTTCAAGCCTAGTGCCAACAATCAATTTTAAACATGTAAGTTCATGTCTTCACGAGTCGAGTCAAAGACCTCTTAAAGGACCTGGTTTATTTTAACACCCCTATATATATATATATATATAGGAGAGAGATCATTTGACTCAAGAGTAAGACTTATAAGTCTTACTCTCCATCCTAACCGTTGATTTCCGTCCATCCAACGGTTATAATTTAGGAAGTTATATTAATTAATTAATTACTAATTATACTATTAATGACAACCGTTGATTTCCGTACATCAACGGCTGAGATTTGGAGTAAGACTTAAAAGTCTTACTCTGGAGTCAAAAGAACCCTCCCCATATATATATATATATATATAGGGGTTTGCGTTCATTATTTAACATGACACAAAAAAGTTTCCTACACATACAACATTTTGTGGGGCCCACACTTTTTTAAGCAAAAAAAAAAAAACAACTACGACACGCAAAACGAATCTCTATAACATTACACAATTACTTTTCCTACAATATAACTCTTATAAAACCCATATATATATATATATATATATATATATATATATATATATATATATATATATTATCCACTAAATATTTATTTATGACACTCCTTGCTGCCGAATGACATGTGGAAACATGCTACTGAGTCGTTCAGACAAAGTGAAAAACCTCCATCAAACTAATAATTATCTAGCGATGGAAACCTTCACATTGAATACTGAATAATTAATCATGTTTTGATTAACAATCACGTTATCAGAAAATAATTCATCTATCCATAAACAAATCGACTATAATGAAAGACAAAATAGAGTACGTGTTGTGGTAAATAAAAAGAAGAAAATAATTATTAATTTATCCATAACACGTCTCATATGGTTAAATGAAACACAAGAATATGTATTTCCCATAATACAATTCACATATATATCACATTAGGAATTGGTAATTTTTATTTTGTTTCATAAAATTACTTCAGTTTTACTATAATAACGTATTGTATTTCTGAATTTTTATTTTTTCATATAAATTTGGTAATTTTTATTAGTGGGCACGTAACATTTTAAAACAATTATGCATTTTGCTGTTTATTGTTGATTTCAGGGTTCTCCTTTTCCTAAAAGTTAAAAATTGTAGCTTTAAAAAAAAAAAATTGACTTTTTCATCAACTTTTGCTTTTCTTAAAAGCCATTATCAAAACACAACAAAAATTTCAGAAACCCTTTTTTTTTAAAAAAAAAAAACAACAACTTTTGATTTGGAAAAAACTCATCCAAACATCACCTAAGTTTGGTCAGACAGTGCCTAAGTGCGTTTTTATTTTAACATTTGCTGTGGCCTATCTCATTTTTGTTTTTAAGGGGGGGGAAAAAAAGGAGAAAGTTCTATTTAAGAACTATTTATATTGTCCAGCACTCAATTTTTTTTCAATTAGTTAAATAACTATACAAAATAATAACTACTATTTTTTTATTAAATAACTGATAACTCATTTGAACTTTAAGGCTTAAGCCTTTAACAAAATAATTTTAGCAAATTGTCAACTTAAACTTTAAACATATGGCAATTCTTCATTTTTCTCATTCCTCCTTTACAAAGTTAATGCCAAACATGGCAATTTTTTTTCCTGCCAAACTAAACACTTCCTAACAAGAAGAAATACATTTGTATAAACTCAAGCCATAATTATAATAAAAGTTTCAAAATAAAACAAATTACTAAATATTTAAAAATTAACTGTATCAGTTATCAAAATTAAGATTATACAAGATAATTTGCCAAAAATCTAAAGTTGAAGCATATTTTGTTTCGTTTTCTATCACTAAAAAGTTCTTCAGAGAGTGATTTTCAAAGCAAACACTGCATCAAGATGAAATGAAATCACATTCAATATATGAATAACTGGTGCAACCTCACAAGATGGGCCATGGCCTAACCAAATTTTCCAAAAAAAAAATAATTTGGTCTCCAAAGTAAAGCACTTTGTCTCCAACAAAACTCCACTTGCTTTGCCTCTATGAGGAGGGAAGAATAAATTCACAAAAGGAACAAAGAGGCATATTACAATAATTAAGCATACTCAAACTTGAGGGCTTATACCCCTTCTCTTTTTCCCATTGTATTTATTAGTCTTTTGCTTCTTATAGTGGTACTTTACAAGCTGCAGTGTACTAAATTATGCAAAAGAATCTCGGGTTGCGATTTAAAATTGTTCATTCTTAATTTTGGGGGGTTGGAAATATTTTCTTCCTTATCAAATAAGCACTTTTGTGGCACTAAAATACACATGAACTGATATGGTCTCACTTTTAAAGGTAGCCAGGGAGCTTGTTGCTACAACCTTACTATTTCTTTCCTAAGGGCAACCAAGAAGCTTAACCCCCGAGTTAATGCCCATTTGAAGTTATGATAGCCAAATTGTTATCTGTCCTATTCTGGTAAGCTGACTTCCGGTGGTTAATCTCTATCCTGCAAATAAACATATATATTGTAAGAGAAGTATAATATAAAATCATTCATCTAACAACTTAGACTTTTGGGTTGAATTGACGTTTTATATGGGATCAGGGCCACTATTACAAAGTGATCACGAGTTTGATCCTCACCATCTCTAAAATCTATTAATAAAAAAAAAATATTGTGAAATTTCTTAGCACAGGTAGGTGGGTCTATGCATTATCTACCCTTCAAGCTCAATGGACTCTTGTGTGAGGGGCATGTTAGAGGAGTATGATATAAAATCATTAATGTGACATTCACCTAACACCTTAGACTTTTGGGTTGAATTGACACTTTACATATATCAATCAATAACAATAATAATAATATGAAAGGAAAAGAGAATTATTTGGCTACAATTGCTCTAAGAAATTTGTTCACAGAAAGTAGATGAGGGGATAAAAACTTAGGTCAGTGTCACTGGAGAAAGGTAATACTCATCCTCCAACTAGCAGGGACAAAAATGGAAAGAAGGCTATATGTTTACATTAGGCTATTAAATATGTTCCTATACATAATCACATGCACACATGGCCTGGAATGAAATTGTGATTTACTTTATTATAATGCTATTAATTAGTGGCAAGGAAAAAAAGCTATAAACCTTAAAAAGATATATTTCTTCTCTATCACAGCAAAGGAAAGACAAGAGACAATCTTTCCCATCTCAACTTGGTCAAATGCAAAAGAAGTTTTGCATTTTGTTCGTATTTTGTTTTCATTTCCAATTGATATTTTTTCACTAATAATTACAAAAAATGCACATTGTTTTCATTTTGTTTCCTTTTTTCAAGAATTTGCAAAGGAAGTGGTTTTTATCAACTGAAAATGAAAACAAAAAACAAACCAAACGCACTCTTAAGATGTATCAAAGATTATTAGAGAAAAAAAGTTGAATATATAGAAATTGAAAAAACAAAATTTAAAAAAATAATAATAAACTAAACTTCAGTCAGTCTTGATAGAAACAGAGATATGCAGCACTTCCATACGCCCAACTAATTTGAACTTTTAATTAAAATATATACTTTATAGAAGAAGAAAATAAAGCAAATTAGTTGCTGAGATAACAGTAAAGATCCAAATAGCATAATTAAAGGCATTGTAGTAGAAGCTGAAAAGAGAAACCCGGATTGTGTGCTGGGTGGGGAAGCAGATATTGTAGTATAAATAAGTAATCAGATTTTAAGAAAAACCTGAGACAGTGCCATAGCGCGTCATAATGAAGAAGACCAACAATTCTTCGTTTCCTCTCTCTACCGCGATCCCCAACACGTTTGACCACTGGTAATTGCTTAATGCCCTTAGCCTCCATTAACTCTTTGGCCATAGCCAAACTAGTACTTGGATAACAAGTTAAAAGTCCACGCTCTCGTCCACGATAGCTCATCCCTCGAGTACAAACAGAGGAAACAAGGTATGTGTTTGCCTGTCAAATATTCAATTTGAATTATCAGTAGTGGAGACAAGCATGAATTTCAGTAATGTATTTTCTCAACAATGCATTCAAAATCCATTCATCAAAGCATTATAGTGACTTAAAAAAAGAAAGAAAGAAAGATAGTAGCTATTCTAAATCAGTCTTAAATGTGTAAAGAGAAGGGGCACTTTGCACATACATCAAGAAGCCCTGAATCAGTCTTGGAAGTATCACTAGACTTATCAGCCAGACACCTTCTAATGTCACCATATGTCAATATTCCTTCTAGAAAATCTTCTTCATCAACCACAAGCACACAATTTTGCTGGCTGTCATGCATGCATTTCATTGCATCTTTCACAGTTACAGATGATGAAACCTTCAGATAGTGTTTTGACATGGCTTGAGAAACCTGAGGAGGAATAATATGCAAGGTAACAAAGTTAACAGATAAAAAACAAGATCAGAATTCAACATACTGCTGCAGAGTTAACAACTGTTAGAAATAATATTAATTTATTATTATTAGAATAGTCTAGAATAGTCTAGATTGTGGGTTTGGCCCATTAGGTCATCCCATTAGGTCTTTTAGCCTCTATAAATAGAGAGCCTCCTTGTACAGACTTACACACTTGAATATACAATATATTTCAGGTTCAATTTGGTATCAGAGCTCTCGATCTGAGGGCTCTGCTTCCGCATATATATCTTTTCCTTTCTTTTTACTGCCGTGCATCATACCGGCAACCATCCTTTCACACCTAACCCTTATTTAGTCACAAATTTCTTGTCCTCAACCTCGTATCATCAGGAAAAAGATCGTCAGCCTCTATTCATCGCCGGAAACCGCCACAAAACCACCGTCCGCCACTGTTCACCGCCGTAAGACTGCTTTTCCGACCAACCACCACGCTATCAGGAGCGGCTCAGGGAGGCGACCCTGTCTGTCCAAGCCGCGTGTTGATCGGAGCATCCACGCGCCGGTGGAAGTCTCCGGCGGCCGAACCACTGTTCCAGCGCGTGAGCCACCGTCCGGCCACCGTTCCAGGCCGGACCACCACCATCTTGCTCGCCTCCTCACCCTCTTTCCAGATCTGGTCTCCGCTCGTTGTGGGTCCCATCCGTTTGAAAGATATCAGTGAAAAACCCGCTGTTTGGACACTTTTGTGCAACGTTTTTGCGCGATTTCTTGCTTTCTTGTAGTTCTTTGCTATTTTCTGGTCATCTCCTTTTATTTTGTGATGGAGGGCTCAAATAATGCGTCCAAAAACACGACTGGCATCATCTCCGGTACTACCCCATCTCCATTCTTTTCTTGGGCCAGTGATTCCAATTGGAACAGTGGACGCGGTCGCAGACGTGGCCGCAGACAGAGGCCTCGTTGCAATTATTGCCAGAATCTTGGGCATTTTGAAGAACGCTGCTATAGGAAGTACCCCCATTTGAAGCCACCGTCTGCCAAATTTGCTCAAACTGATGTTACGCCACCTTCAACTGGAATAGTAACTCTTTCAAGTGCCGACTATGAGGCACTTCTCAAGAAGGTTTCTTCTCAGCATCCTACTCAAGACACTGGTAATCATGTTGCTTGTTTTTATCAATCATCTCTTGGACCCTGGATAATAGACTCAGGTGCTACTCATCATCTTTGTGGTAATAAAGATCTCTTCACTTCACTTTCTTATTCTAATAACCTACCCCCTGTCACTCTTGCTGATGGCACTAAGGCTCCTGCTCGTGGAATTGGGGAAGCCAACCCAACTCCCCTTTTAACTTTGAGTTCTGTTTATTATATACCTGGCATTCCTTTTAATTTAATCTCTGTTAGCCAGTTGATTCATTCTCTTTCATGTACTATTACCTTCTCTAAACAATCCTTTTCTATGCAGGATTTGGGTACGGGGAAGACGATTGGAGCAGGCGTTGAGTCACGAGGTCTCTACTATCTGATTGCACCACCTTCTCCAGTAGCCTGTTCTCTCACAGAGTCTCCTGAGCTAATTCACAGCCGTCTGGGTCATCCAAACCTCTCCAAGCTTCAGCATATGGTTCCTTTTTTATCCAATCTTAAGTCTTTAAACTGTCATTCTTGTCAGCAAGGAAAACACACTCGCTCCTCCTTTGCTAATAGAGTCAATAAAAGAGCTTATGCTCCTTTTTCTATTGTTCATTCTGATATTTGGGGTCCGAGTCGAACAACGTCTGTTTTGGGTTTTCAGTATTTTGTCACCTTTATTGATGATTTCTCCCGTTGCACTTGGGTTTATTTAATGAAAAATCGTTCTGAGTTATTTTCAATTTATCAAAAGTTTTGTGCAGAAATAAAAACTCAATTTGGTGCTTCTATTCAAATCTTGCGCAGTGATAATGCAAAAGAGTATGTGTCTCTTGAATTTTCTAAATTTCTGGATACACAAGGGACGATACACCAGACTACCTGTCCCCACACTCCACAACAAAATGGAGTCGTTGAACGTAAAAATAGACATCTAGTTGAAACTGCACGTACCCTTCTCATTCATATGAACGTCCCACTCTGTTTTTGGGCAGATGCTATTATCACCTCATGTTTCCTTGTCAACCGCATGCCCTCTTTTGTGCTAAATAATGATGTTCCCGACAGTATTTTGTTTTCCGGAGCACCTTCTTATCCTCTGCCTTTACATATTTTTGGCTGTACTTGTTTTGTTCATGATCTTACTCCAGGTAAAGACAAGTTGACATCCAAGGCCTTCAAATGTATTTTCCTTGGGTATACACGTTTTCAAAAAGGGCATCGTTGCTATTCTCCTGATCTCAAGCGTTATATCGTTTCTGCTGATGTCACTTTCCTTGATCAGCAGCCTTTTCACTCTACTCCAATCTCCAGTGTCCCAAGTTGATCAGGTCCTTCCTGTTCCTTTTCTTGTCTTGTCTTTACCAGCTGCAGGTGACCCTATTCCAGAGGAGCAACCAATTACCTCCATACCTGCAGATCGTCCTCTCCTCACATACCAGCGTCGTCAGCCTGCACCTCCTCCGACTTTTCCTCTTGATGACTCATCGCCCTTTCCCGTCGGCTCTTCTCCTCCGGATCCTCCATCAGAGACTCCTCCCATTGCCCTTCGGAAGGTATTCGATCCACTCGAAATCCTCATCCCCTTTATTCTTTCTTGAGTTATGACAGACTTTCTTCACAACATTTTACTTTTGTTTCTAGTCTCTCTTCTGTTTCCATCCCTAAAACCACAGGTGAAGCACTATCTCATCCAGGGTGGCGCCAGGCGATGCTTGATGAAATGCAGGCACTTCACTCCAATGGCACTTGGGATCTTGTTCGTGCTCCTCCCGGGAAGTCTGTTGTTGGTTGTCGATGGGTGTTCACAGTTAAAGTTGGTCCTGATGGCACTGTTGATCGCCTTAAAGCTCGCTTAGTGGCCAAGGGATACACACAGATCTTTGGTCTTGATTATGGGGATACCTTTTCTCCTGTTGCTAAGATGGCTTCTGTTCGCCTGTTTCTTGCCCTTGCCGCCATTCATCACTGGCCCCTTCTCCAACTTGATATTAAGAATGCTTTTCTACATGGTGACTTGCAGGAGGAAGTTTATATGGAGCAACCATCAGGTTTTGTTGCTCAGGGGGAGAATTCTAGAATGATATGTAAACTTCGGAAATCTTTATATGGCCTGAAGCAATCTCCTCGGGCCTGGTTTAGCCGCTTTAGTTCAGTTGTTGAATCCTTTGGATTAATCAGAAGCAAAGCCGATCATTCTGTCTTTTACCGGCATAGCTCATCTGGCCAGTGCGTTTATCTCCTGGTCTATGTTGATGACATTATCATTACAGGCAGTGATCAGACCGGGATTGATTAGTTGAAAGAGCATTTATTCAATCAATTTCAGACCAAAGATCTTGGCAAACTTCGATATTTCTTGGGGATCGAAGTTGCACAGTCTAGGCGGGGCATTTCCATCTGTCAGAGGAAGTATGCACTGGATATCCTAGATGAGACTGGCATGTTAGGCTGTAAACCCATTGATACACCTATGGACCCCAATGTTAAGTTATTACCAGGACAGGGGGAGCCACTGCCAGATCCCAGTCGCTACCGCCGACTAGTTGGAAAATTGAATTATCTTACTGTGACAAGGCCAGATATCTCCTTCGCAGTGAGTGTTGCAAGTCAATTTCTTGATTCTCCCCGTGACTCCCATTGGGATGCAGTTATTAGAATTCTCCGATATATTAAAAAGGCGCCAGGAAGAGGTTTATTATATACAAATAAAGGGAGTTCAGAGATCTCTAGTTATTCAGATGCTGACTGGGCAGGTTCTCCTTCAGATAGATAATCCACCTCAGGGTATTGTGTTCTCTTCGGAGGAAATTTGATCTCTTGGAAGAGTAAGAAGCAAACTGTGGTCGCCAGATCCAGTGCGGAGGCAGAATATCGGGCAATGGCAAATGCAACCTGTGAGCTCATCTAGCTGAGTCAATTGCTGAAGGAACTCCATCTCTGTGAACAAAGGCCTATGAAGCTCATTTGTGACAACCAAGCCGCTTTGCATATATCCTCTAACCCAGTCTTTCATGAGAGGACCAAGCATATAGAAATTGACTGTCATTTTGTTAGAGAAAAGATCCAGTCAAGGGAGATCGAGACAGCATTTGTCAATTCCAATGATCAACTTGCGGATGTATTCACTAAAGCTCTTAGAGGTCCCCGAATAGATCATATTTGTAACAAGCTGGGAGCTTTTGATATATACGCACCAGTTTGAGGGGAGTGTTAGAAATAATATTAACTTATTATTATTAGAATAGTCTAGAATAGTCTAGATTGTGGGCTTGGCCCATTAGGTCATCCCATTAGGTCTTTTAGCCTCTATAAATAGAGAGCCTCCTTGTACAGACTTACACACTTGAATATACAATATATTTCAGATTCAATTACAACAAAAGATGGATAATATCGATGATCATAAGGAAATACGAAGAAGCTTTTCTCTACCTTAAGATTGTCCAGAAGCAGTTCCTCATCAATTGCTTCAAGATCAGCAGCATCTCTAATAATACAGAGTTCTAAACCATTCCCATCATTGCCTTGTCTCCAGTTACCATCATCATTATCTTCAGCACGTGAAATTGAAGAATATCCTCTTGCTAAGTTTCTTGTATCAGGTGTATCACTCTCCTTCGCCTGGTTTGTCACTGAGGGAACCCATATTGCCAATCCAACAGCGCCCTGAGTGCAAGGTTCACAATTACACGAGATGAAAATATTAAATATTAAAAAATTTCACTACAATAAAATGATGGGAAAATTACAAGTTGGGGGAGATGGGAAACCTGCATAAAATAAGAAGGTTGAGGTTCAAGCCACAAGTACTGGCTATTAGAAAATACTACATGCATTTCAATGCCAGAGCAGTTGAAACAAAAGCACTCCCTCGATTTAAAATATCTGCTGTTTAAGCACACGGATTAAGAAAGCTATTAAATAGCCTTGATTAATGTAACTGTATTTAACTAAATTACCCTTTATTGAAAGACTAAAATATTATTGCTTCATTAATGCTCCCTCTCATTCCATTTAGTGGAGATACCAAAGAAGGATAAAGTTGGGGGGAAAAAAGTAATACTTCCTTTATTTTCTAAAAGGACAGATAAATTGAAACAAAAACTTTCTAAAGCGATGTTTGGAAAGAGGGACTAATTTAAACAATTTATGAATTCAAAACTGCATTAAAAGTTAACCCATTTCACAGACAAAAATGGAGATATATGGTGCGGGGTAACCATCAGCGAGACAATGGATGTCAGAGTATACCAATCATCTTTTATAATTCAGTTGAGGTAAAAGAATGAGTTTTACAATTGATTCATTTTTTTAGTTATAAGAACTAGCATAACAATGGAAAACTACAAATGCATCAAAACTGTGCAATTTTATTTTATTTTTTGTAAGTGAATTTTATTGAATTACCATGAGAGGAAGCAGTATCCTATAATCTTTTGTCAGCTCGAACAGAAGTAGAACTGAAGTCAAAGGAACAGAACAAACAGATGCTAATGTAGCAGCCATTCCAACCTGCAGAAGTTAAATTAACTTGTAATCATCTCAATTTACATCAACCAAATCAGTCTTGGTGTCAGCAGTAACAATTCTACAACCTACATACTTCAAAGTAAAGTCAGCTTACCAAAGCATACGCCTGGGGTTGGGCAACAGCAGTATTTCCAGGAATTGCTGAATTGATAACTTCTGCAGCAAAGCCTCCAAATACAGCACCAACTGCAGCACCAATCATTAAACTCGGTGCATAAAGACCACCTACCAGCCCGGATCCCTTGCAAAGAGCTGTCGCAATAACCTTAGCACCTGCTAGTTGTGTCAGAAGCCATATTCCAGGAGCTGAAGCACTCTTTCCAGTACGTAAAATTTCTTCCACATTTGTGAAACCCCAATACAATATTCCAGGATATTTAAGAGCAATGATCCCAGCTCCTAAACCACCTAAAGCAGGGCAAACCACCGGAGGAACACCAAATTTCTCCTGGATAATCTCAAATAATTTGCTGAACCAAGCAACCAAACGACTCATGGCCACACTTACAACACCGCACAGCATTCCCAATATCAAGTATAAAGGTAGCTCTGCATGCAACGTCATGATAAACTATCAGACAACATGTGAATAATGGTTAGGAACAGCAAAATTGGTCAACAGCAAAAGAAACAGTCAACTCCCAAACCAATTGTATTTCCCTTTATCTCTAAGCCTGACACTATAAATATTCCTTTAATGATTACAATACTGACTCTGATGACTTACCACTGCCTTAAGGAAAGTAAAAATGTCATGTACCCAGTGCCTTATCTCTCAATTTGTTTCTTCTAAAAACCTTTCCATGCAGCACAATAGTTTTATATTAGCCCTTGATTCTATCAGAATTCCAATATCAGCTCAAGAAGCATTAAAAGATGAGAAATGGGTTCAAGCCATTTATGAAGAGATGAGTGCCTCAGAGAAGAATAAAACATGAGAAGTTGTTTATAGATCAAAAGGAAAGAGAGCAGTGGGGTGCAAATGAATTTATTCTTTGAAGTATCAGTTTGACAGTAAACATGATAGAAGGCAAGGTTAGTTGCTAAGAGATACACTTGGACATATTATCTCTTGCTGCTCACTTTGATTGGGAATTGAACCAATTTGATGTAAAAATGTTTTCCTTCACAGCAAATGGGCGGAGGTTTAAATGGAGATTCCACCAGAATTCGATTCCAAAAATAGAGAAATAAATTATGCACATTAATAAAGGCTTTATATAGGTTGAAACAATCTCCCCATGCATGGTTTGGAAAGTTTACAAAGGTTATGGTGCCTTTGGGATACAAACAGAGTTAGGGAGACCACACTCTCTTTAAACATTCATAAGAGGAAAAACTTACTAATCTTTTATTCTATGTAGATGACATCATTATAAAAATGAAGGATCTATTTGAGAAATAACTGCTATAAGAAAGACCGATTGCTGAGTTAGAAATTAAAAAGACATTGGGAAGTTGAGGTACTTTCTTAGGATAGAGGTTAACTATTTCAAAGAAGGTCTTTTATCTCTCCAAGGAAGTATATCCTTGATTTCCTTAAGAAAGTTGGAAAAGTTGGGTGTAAAACTAATAGTTTCCTTATTAAGCAAGACCACAAAATGGGAAGTGAAGGGGAGAGTCCCTAGGTTGATAAAGGGCAATATTAGAGGTTGTCAAGTAGCTTGATAAATCTAACTCATGCTAGACCAGATTTAGCAAATGAGGTCCATGTTGTTAGTTAGTTTAGGCACAGGCGAAGGACAACACTCGCATGCCGTGGATAAAATTCGCTGATATTTTAAAACTATACCACAGAGAGAATTGCTATTTACTAATGCTGATTATGCAAGATTCATATTCATGAAAATCAATCTCAAGTTATTTTTTCATTCTTTTGTGGGAATTAAATAACATGAAGGAGTAAGAAACAAAATGTGGTAACTCGATAAAGTATAGAGGCAGAAGTTAGAGGTAAGGCTCAGGGGATTTGTAAACTACTAAGGCTGAAAATTATACTAGACAACCTAAAAGTGAAATAAGGCGGACCCATGAAGTTGTTTTTGTGATAATAAATCTGTCATTTGTGTAGCTCATAATCCAGTTCAGCATGATAAAGCAAAACACATAGATCAACTGCCACTTCATCAAGGAGAAAATGGATTGCGGGCTAATTACTACTCCATACATCCCTTTCAAACTTCAATTAGTTGATATGTTGACTAAGGGACTTCCCCCCAAGAAATTTCAATTCTTCACTAGCAAGTTGCAAATGAAAAATATCCATTCACCAACTCGAGGGGGAGTGTTGAAACAATTGTGTAATTATTATAGATTTGATTTTTCCTTTTATTACACAAGTTATGATAGGACAGATTTTAGGAAGATATATGACAGATTATAGGTTTGATTTGCTTCTTATTTGTATTCTTAGAATCAACTCTTTATTAGGAAAGCAATTATTCACATTGATTAGTCTATATATGGTAAACATTTATACATGAACATTCAAGTAAATAATATTCAGATTCAAAATTCCAAATTTAACTTAACATGAGTGTGAAAGATCTACTAAAGGGAGGGATGAATGGTGGACTTGATAATGCTGCACAATTGGGCATCAATTTTTTTTCCATTCGGGTCAGTCTGCCACAAGAGCCTAGGTATAGTAGTTGCTACCACTCAATGTGTGAGTAATGAGAAATGCACTAATATAAATAGTGAAAGCAAGGGCCTCTGCCTTTCTAGTGTCCTTGGCCGCAGGTTATGGACTACTACTAGCCATAAGTTTAATCATAAAAGCCACACAAAAAACTTCAAGGCACCAGAACAGCTTCAAGCAAGTGTTTTGGTCAACTCAAGGAACAAACGGAGAGGGGGAGGTCTTATCTGAAGAGAGGACAGCAAGTCCAATAATGCTGGCTGCAACCTTAACAATGGTTGTATGCACCCTAGTGCTAGAAAAGTGAATGACAGTCTGACGGGTTGTGGCATTGTGTGACAGCATGTCACAACTCCGGTGGTAGCATAGGTTGGGGAATTGGACAAGGGGAAGTCACTAAGGATGATGGTGAGATCATCCGGGGAGGTGATGCTCAAACAATGACAAATCTACACCAATAATGGGTTCAAAGAGAGAGAGAAAAGGCTGCGGGAAAGGTTAACACGGTAGATGTGGTGACAGACCTGAGTTGAAACACAACATCAACATCAGCAACACCTTTATTCCAAACTAGTTTAGGACCCAAATTCAAACACAGCTGGTTGAAAAAAGTTTTCAAGGAACAGAGTGGGTCATCAGGTATGCATGGTTGTAGGGATACCTCTCGTTTAGGATCTTAATATCATGCTGAGAGAGAAAAAAGAAGCATAAGCTGATAACCATGTGTCTCAACTACACCATAGATTCAATACTTATATATGAATATAATAAATACTACGATACAATTTTCTTGAATACTATATTTACGTGATACATTGAACATGGACACTTACACTGCACCTAGACATAATAGAATTAGACACTTCTAACAAATATTTTGGAATATCACAAAGGGGGAATGCAACATTCAAAGAAAATCAAGTCACTCGTATCTTGTCTAGTTATAACTATTGGCATGAACTCTAAAGCATGCTGTAATAGTACGGGGGAAAAAATTATTAAAATATAAAAGTACCATTGTGGAACTTGATAAAAGAAAAAATTTGTCCAGTTTCGAAGTTCAATACCCCTATACAGCCTTAGTTCTTTATTTGGACTGCATTACTTAATAGAAGAGAATGATTTATAGCAGGTTTGCAGATCATACCAAGCTTCTCTCCTAATGTTTGTGTCGTGTGTTTCTCTAATTCTGAGACTAGCAGCTACTACCTATTTTTTCATTATCCAGCCGCTAAATATTTGTGGTGCAGACTTAAAAATTAGTTTTAGTAATTACATGATTTGTCCAGAGAATTCAGAGCACTTTATCATATGATAAATCATAGGTTTGGCAGGAGTAAAGAAGGCAAGCATCTTTGTGGTGTGCAACTTATTCTGTTATTTGGTGCAAATGGATGGAGAGGAATGCCAGAATTTGGACTGCTACCTCTTTTGTAGGATAAAGTGGTCGGTAGCTCCATTGTGGTGCTCTGCTAATGGCCTATTTATAATTTTGTAAAAGATTTTCAGAATTTTTTTCTGAACTGAACATACATTAATGTTTTGGTTATGGACATGTATTAAGATGTTGAGTCACCAAACTACAGAAATCACATTTTGAGAGTAAAAATTGATTGGATACTAAAAAATGAGGAATTCTTCGGAAGTCAGACGCAATTTTCATAAATGCAATACTTTCAACAAAATCCTCCTAAAATAATGCATCATTATCTCACCAATAAAATAAAAAATTAATTCAAGAAAAAGTGAAGTATTTCTTTTTCATCAGGGGAAAAATGGGAGTGATTTAACTGTACAAGTACAATGAAAAGAATAAGAAAGAAAAACATATCACAGATTCACAACGACAAATATGATGACAAACCTAAACCGTATATAATAAACACAGCAAGGTTAAAGAAAAGTACCAGCAGCAGATTTCAACTCATACTCAGGCACTGTAAAAGCTGATTGAGTTCCCTGTAAAACATTTGATACAGTTGACGAAATAACAGAAGCCAATATAATCATGGCAGTGGTAAATGGGGGAGAGTTTTCTGCACGAAGAGGTCTCAGCACAGTTTCAATAGCAAAGAAACAACCAGCAACTGCTGCATTGAAGCCTGAAGAAAGAAAAATTGAAAGCTAAAATAACCAACATATAGATATCCAAAGGGCAATCCAGATACCGCAAAATAAATTCATACTCTTAAACCAACCTAGATCAGCAAGGAAATACCAGATTGATGTGAAGCTAGGTACAACAAGATAGAAGAAAACTGTCCAGGGACTCAATTTTCACATAGGACACATTCTTTTTTCACTGAAATGAAGTTTCATAATTTCATAGTACCAACATTAGAACCCATTATATAGAAAGGACATCGGTAAGAGAAAACAAAATAGATCAGCGGAAAAGAGCAACCCTATCCCTTTGCTTGTGATAGGGCAAAGAAGAAACATAGTTACAGAATTAGTTAGATAATTTAGTTAGCATAGTTACAGAGTTAGTTGAAATATGGGCGGTTCAAAGTTGTTAGGGGCAGGGCCATAGCTTAAATAGTAGGAAAGGAAGAAGTAGGATTCAGATCTGTTAGTATTGGAAACCAAGCAGTTGCTCAACTGTAAAAGGAAAACCATCTGTTCAAGGGGAAACCTTTGTTCAAGAGGAAACCTTGGAAGGAGATCTTTCTACTTTTCTTTCTGTAAAGATTCAGCTATCAACAACAGTCTCTATTAATTCTTTCTCTCTTCCATACTATCTCCCGCTCTCTTATTTGTGCCCAAACAAATTTGGTTCAACCTGACAGATCTTGCTTCCTCGGGGACAACATGGAATCAAGAATAGAAGCTTTGGAGAATTTGGTGGAGTTCTTCAAGAAGTCGACCAACAAGCATAGGGTGCGATTACATTCTTTGGATGCTTGAGTGGCAGAGATTCAGAAGTATATGGAGTGTAAAGAGGGCATTCAGCAATTGCTAGATAGGTGGATGAAGAAACAAGACATTAACCTTGAGTCAGAGGAAGATGACAAACAACCCATTTAAGAAGAATTGACTTTGCGGCCAAATATACAGGGAATGGAAAAACAGCAGTATGGAAATTTACAGTTTGTCATAGATGAATGCAAATCAGGGGCAAGAAAGGCCAAATTAACAAGTTTGATGGCAACGGACCAATGGAGTGGATTGCTCTATATGAGAAACTCTTTCAAGTGTCTATAAATGGTATGTTCAAAAATCTGATGGAAACCAAAGGGTTATTGAGCAAAAGGAGGTTAGAGAGGATTTGTGAGTAATGAAGATAGCAGAACACCAAGACATGGAGAGTGGATAGAAGGAATATTCTGGTGTCAGTCATTAACCAAGATTAAAGCAGTGATGGTGGTGAAGACTGAAGAGGAAAAACAGAATTCTAGTTTCATGATTGTCAAGAAGGAGAATTGTAGGATATTCAGAATACCAAGAACAAGGAACCAGCCCTGACCGAATCCTTGGACTTCTACCATTGTGCAAATATAGTTGTGTCTCCACCCCAAACTGGCCTTTTGTTTTGCTTCAAAACCATGATTACTTCACCACTAGAAGCCAGCCATTATGCAAGGCCAATAGATGGGTCTTTTGGCATGTTGCTCCAGCACCAGATTTGTGCAGGAGCATGTTGCTAGGATGCGAGCTTTCACAGAGAGAATCCAAAACCCAAGTTTCTGTGTGGTATCAATAGGAATGCAACACAAAGCCATACGGTGAAGGAAGTGGGGGCAACCCTCAAAGCAATGCTAGTGACAGCAACCCAAGTTTCCTCCTCGGTGCATCTAGCTTAACCTAAAGTTTCGCAACTATCAGCTCCCATTCCAAAAAAACCCTTTGTTGCTACCAAACCCACCAGATTCAAGCCATTTTATAGTAAGCATACCAAAGGGAAAGTATGGATATTCCAAGATTAGGGTATCCCTTTGTATTGAGACTTCAAGAAATCTTGCAGCCAACTGATCATGTAAGTACATCACCTCTAATAAGGTTGCCATAGCTCCAATAAATTGTGCATATGCAGTTTTTATAATATTTGAGGAAGATATCATCATATGGATCATGGGGTTTATGGTGCTTACTACTGCAATCTTTCAATAGTGCTTGGATTCCACTGTTATTATATCTAGTTGCAAGTTCAATATTCTTATAGTTTAAAAAACACCTAGTTAAACCCCAACCAGGGAGGGTTGGATAAGGAAAATCCTTCTTATAGTCTCTGGGAGAAATATTTTAAGCCAAGAATTTTGGGGGATATATTGTGTTATTTCAATTGTGAAGTCCACTAGTGTATATACCGAAGTTCCTAGGATTTTTGCCAAGGATAAAGGCTTGCCCAAGCTCTCATTAAGGGAACTCTCAGCCACCTGAGGAGGCCACTTGGAGGGTGGACACTATCGACACTCGGTTTCCAAATTTCAACCTTGGGTACACGGTTGAACTTCAAGGGGATAGCATTGATTGGACCCGAAGAAGGATAGTTATAGAATTAGTTAGATGATTCAGGTAGGATAGCTATAAAGTTAGATAGTTAGACAGTTGGAAGCTGTTAGGACAAGGGCATAGCTTAAATAGGAGGAAAGGTAGAAGCAGAGAGATTCAGATTTGTTAATATTCAAAACAAAGTAGTGGCTCAGTAGTAAATGAGAAACCTTTTGTTGAAGGGCAAACCCTGGAAGGAGATCCCTCTTCTTTTTTCTATAAAGATTCAGCTATCAATATTCAATAACAGTATCTATTCATTCTTTCTCTTTCATACCATCACTCGGCTGTCTCCCTTGTGGGTTCCCAACTGCTTGTCTAACCCTGACCTTTTGCAACAGGTAATTATATATCGAGACCATACAGTGTAAGCTAGAATTTCTCAACAAAAAAAAAAAAAAAAAACAGAGAGAGAGAGAGAGAGGGGAAAGAAAAGAAAAGAAAATTAAAATCTCTCCTGGCCTTTTTATGGATTGGGTGGTTTCCTTAGCCTCAGAATTCAGCCAATGGTCATTTTCAAGAGGATTCGTTGCCAGATTTTCAAGGGACTGAAGCACTTTATTTCTCAACATAGTTCTTTTTCTTTTTTTCAAGGGAATGTTTAAACTTCCCTCTTCTATCTTCAAATTTTCTCTACTTAAAGAAAGTTTCTTTTTTTTATCGAAAAAAACAAAAAGGTTGAAAGAGTATATTGGCCCAAGATTGACAAGACTTAAGAAGTCTAGTGGTCATTGGAGTTCTATGGAAGTAAGAATTCTGAAAAATAACTAAACCATCAAAATTGTAAATTCTTTTTACCTAGGAATTAAATTATTGTAATTAAGTTGGGTGTATTATTTTCCCTAGTGGAAAAGAGGTTCTGTCCTATTTCCTTCAAAACTTGCTATCTTTTAGTTCTTTACCAAAGGGTGACTAGCAGTATTCCCTTCACCGAAAGGGAATGAACACACACAAAAATCTTAACCAATATCACATTTAGAAAAGAGTCAATAAAAACTTCCAGATGATTACCTAGACTTCCAGAACTAAAATCATTTAATGTGAATTATCAACAAGCTGCCCTTATACAAGTGGACAATCAGGTACAAATGCCCAAGCCTAACACTTTACAATGCACGGCCAAAATTTAAATTCTTGAGAATTTGTCATACATATGTTTATCCTCCCTATCAAGAATGATTTGAACATCAAAAAGAGTTTCTTTCTTTAATAACTTTTCATTGGTTAAATTATAATTAAAAAATTTCAAGGAGGCTTAAATGACCAGAATATGAAATGAGCAAACATCAAAATGAGTTTTAAAAAGTGACATTGATAAGATTGCCTGGCTACCTGAAGAAATTCCAGCTGCTGCACCAGCTGCAACAAGTGCTATTTTTCTTTCTCTGTTGTTTTCCATCATTAGTGAGAATCCATTGGCACATGACTTTCCAATATCAACACTAGGACCTTCAGGACCCAATGAACAGCCAGTACCCAAAGTCACTGCAGCCTGGATAGCCTTTATTGTTGGAAAGATTCCTGCAAGCAAATCAAAACCTTGTCCTTGTCTTTGAGAGGAACTGGGCTGCTTTATTTGGTCCAGTATTTCCAGTAAACCACACATCATGCCAACAATGACTCCTCCAGTGACAGGTATCAAAAGGATTCGATGCCATGTATCTGCCAATCTCTGAAGACGAAGCCAAGCAGCACCCTCATTTGGAGTACCAGCCCATACCCATTCATGTATTAGATGCACCTAGATGAGCACATTTCAGTATATATCAGATAAACCATCTTCTTAATGGGTTTGGTAAATCTTTAGCTAAAATAGAATATTCAGGACCAGAAAGTCCAAAATCAAATGATTTTAGCAGTCAATGTATGACAAAGAAACAGACAAAAGACAGGTATCAAAGATGGCTTGGCAACCATTCTTATGGACTTTTTTGAGAGTACTACACCAGTTCAGTAAAAACATAACATTAAAAATAAAATAAAAAATAAAAACTACTCTCTGTTAAACCACGACTAGCGAGGATGGGGACGAGGGCAATCTTTATCAACAGTCTTTCTTCTGCAAAATTGCAAAGAGGCTATAAAATATGGCATGCAACATGAATGAATGCCATCTGATTAAATCCATAATATTATATGAAGTTCAAACAAGATCTGGATCGTTGAGAGTATTACCAACTATTTCTCCTAACATTATACATTAGTATGTCCCTGTCCATTGAGATCAATCAATGTTCACATATTTCATACATAACAAAACACATCTCAGGTTTTAGAATCTTAACATCTTGCATCCATTACATGAACTTCTATAAGAAAAAAAAATCAACAAAGAGCAACCAGTGATAAGAACAAGTTGAAATCCATTATAGCAAGCAACTCAAAAAATGTTCCAAAAGATTAAAAAATAAATAAATGAAAATTGGCATACCCCTTTATTGAAAGCAGCGACAAAGAGGCCAGTGGTAAGACCAAGGAGGCAACCAAGGAGGAGCAAGGCCCATTCAGGAGGTGCACTATCACCAAGGACATCACCTGAAGAATCAACAGAATGAAGATCTAAATGCAAATGTGAATCAACAACATGATGATTGTGATCATGATGATCTCTTCTATCTCTATCTCTATCTCTATCACTATCTCTATCTACATCTTTGTCAAGACGCTTGAAACTATGGCGGTGACCCGAAAACCTGAACAAATCCCTGAACCCTTTGTTGCTGCTACCACTGCCATTGCCATTGAGTTCGGAGGACCCTTGTGGTGCTTCCACGTCGTGTACTGCTACATCTTCCGAAGACCCCAAAAGACGATGCTGATCGCTTTCCGACATTGAAAATTCTTCAGATTCCTTCAAAACCCATCAACGAAATGGCTTGAATTTCAAAACCCATTTCTCAATTTTTCAAAATTTTGTAGATAGAATCAAGGGGTTGAAGCTTGATGAAATGAGGATTCCAATGGATCCGTGTGGTGGTATTTTACTATTTCGTGTGTCAAAGTGGAGAAAACAAAGAAAATGAACATGTAATATGTAAACAGTGTTAGGCACGTTTTTCCAATCACTTCAACGTTCTCTTCAATCAAAATCAAATCAAAGAACCACTCTTTCTGCTTCTTTACTCCTCGCAACAATCTTCTTCTCTCTGCACTAGTTCTTTTTTTTTTTCTTTCCTAATAATTAGGATTAGAATTTAAAAAAAAAAAATTTAGATAAAAATTTGAAAAAACTTCAAAAATAAAAAAAAAAACTTAGGGACGTTTGGTTTAGGAATTTTTTTTTGAAATAGTAGGAAAATGAGATAGACAGATAAATGATTGAAAAAATAGATAAAGTGAGATAGGTAGAAAAATATAAAAAAAAGTTGTTTGGTAGGGAAAAACTTTACTGGAAAAATTAGGTAACTTTATGAAATCAACAGTGCATTAAAAGTCAGATAATCGATTTTTCGAAAAATTCCACCTTCAAATTGGGTTTCTAAACAGTGCGGATATCTATGTTTCTCATAAATCCAGACAAATTAGATAGATGGGTTTTAGGTGAAAAACGTTGAAACAAACATGATGTTTCTAAAAGTCATACTTGAGAAAGATAAATATCTGCTTAAAAGCTCCCAACCAAATACCACCTTAAGTTTTTTTAGAATCACTTGCCCCTCCCAAAAATTTTAATCATTTACACTTCTATTTAAAAAAAATTTATCACTTGCCTTCCTAACTTGATTTTTCATTCAAAATTAAAGTTAACCGAGTTATTTTTTTTTTAAATATCAAAACTACCTTTAAAAAGAATGAGAGGACGAAAAGAGGACTCAGAGTAGGGCCTAAGTTTTAGAACCTCATATAAACACAAAACCAATACACAACGTAAACACGGACCAGCCAACGTGACAAATTGTGTAAATGCATATATACAAGTAGATAGATTTTGATCAATTAGTCTGCTTTTATTACTAATACTGGGAGGGAAACCCCAAATAGTGTAGCAATCTAACACACCTTTAATTTCTCATAATTTATTCATGATGCCCAGGAACGATTTTTACACTCCATCTACAAGGATTAGTATCAATTAAACCCAAATGCGTCTCGATTTACGTGTTTGTAATACACTTCATTTGAATGGTTGATTGGGGTCGATTATTGTCATATATATATATATATATGGGGAGAGATCTTTTGACTCTAGAGTAAGACTTACAAGTCTTACTCCCCATCTCAACCATTGATTTTCGTCCATCTAACGGTTATTATTTATTTGAAATTAATAATTAATTAATTGGTATAGATAACCGTTAGATGGACGAAAATCAACGATTGAGATGAGGAGTAAGAGTTATAAGTTTTACTCTAGAGTCAAAAGATCCCTCCCCTATATATATATATATATATATATATATATATATATATATATATATATATATATAATGTTTCTAAAGTGAATGTAGATAAGTTATCTATATTCACTCCTAAAACGATGTCGTTTTGGATTTAAAAACTAAAAAATTATAATGAAAAAGACTATTATAACCCTAAAATAAATTATAATTACAAAAATACCTTGATCTCGGCTTAAAACGACGTCGTTTTGGGCTTAATGTAGATAAGTTATCTACACTGACTGTAGAAAAAGTGAACCATATATATATATGGGAAAAATATTTCTCCGGCAACTTGAGATAAGTTTATCTCCGTCCACCCTAAAAGTACGTCGTTTTGTTTATTTATTTCCTTATATTAATTGATTCACATTTGAATGGTTATGATTCTTTTTTATCTCTCTTCCTTTATCACCGTTGATCCATCTTTATACAGTTATGATTTAGTAGCCGGAGATAAAATTATCTCAAGCAGCTTGAGAAACGATAACCCCTATATATATACCATTATATATATATATACCATTTGCGAGTTCTTGAATTTGCGAGTTCTGTGAAATTCTTGAATCTGCGAATTTGCGAGTTCTGTGAAATTCTTGAATCTGCGAGTTCTGCGAAATAGTTTTGCGAAATATATATATATATATATATATATATATATTCAGTCCAAATACTCGGATAGAATGGAGTTTTACCAGGCCAAATCTTTGACTGCTGTGTGTTTCTCTCATAACCTGAATTATATAAGCTCAGAAGCAAGGGCGGTGGAGCGTCAGAACGATTAGGGATCCACTCCTTAATGACTATCTCTTGCCAGCAGTAAGGTACAGTATTGTATGTTACTTTTCTTTAAGGGTAGTTTTTGCATTTTTTTTTTAAAACTAATTCTGTTAACGTTAACTTTGGATGAAAAATCAAGTTAGGGGGTAATTGATAAAAAAAATTTAAATAGAGGTGTAAATGATTAAATATTTTAGGCAGGGGGTAACCGGGTAAGTGATTCTAAAGAAACTTATAGGGGGTTTTTTGAAGTTTTCTCTAAAAAAATTTATAGATTTTAAAAGACTATTTAGAATTGGAGAGACTTTAAAGATTTTTTTAAAAGATTTTTTTGCAATCAATATTTCATAAAATTGAAGTTTAAAGGATTTTAATATAATTTATAAGATTTGAAAGGAATATATGGATTTATAGGATTTTAAAAAACCATATGAATTTTAACAAACATTCAAAATTACAAGAGTCAATAAAAAAGGGAAGGTTATACTTACAACCTATTTTTGTTTATAACCTTTTACAACCATATCTTAACCGTTGATTTCCGTCAATCAACGGTTATCATTCATTGCGAATTAAATATTAATTAATGAGTTTAATTTGCGAAAATAATAATCGTTTGATTGACAGAAATAAATAGTTAAGATATGATTGTAAAAGGTTGTAAACAAAAATCGGTACCTTCCCCATAAAAAAATAACAAAGAAATGCAATGAAATTAATAATATAAAAAAGTAAAACCTAATACAATTTTCTCAATCGGTAAAACATAATATAATTTTTAAAAAACATTCAAAATTACTAAACAACATCTTTTCACATATCTAAAGTTATACTAATCATCCATACATTAACATTTTCTCGTTCATGCTCTTGTATTTGATCAATGGGTTAAAAATTATCTTCTTCATTTGGTATCAAAGCTATGCATATATGTTTATAAGATCCAATTTTTTAATTATTAAAATAATTCTAAATATGCATATAGAACCTAAAGTTCATGATAAAATTTCGTTTGCAATTTTTTGCAATTGATCTTGAAAATCTTGAATTTTTGTTCTACGTGACGAGAGTTTTCTAATCATATATCATATGCATATTTTTATTGAATATTCTAAGAAAATTTCGAATCTGAATTTTTATGTTTTATTACATGAAAGTTTAGAAAATTTCTCAAATTTTTTTCAATCAATACATAGAAACCTTAAATTGCTTTGAGAATTTTGAATAACAAGATCTTAGTTATCTATTGACACAAAAATTATTTGAAATTCCAGAATTTCGTTCATGAATGTATTATTACGAAATATAGGGTTCATATTATGAAAGTTTCAATCTTTCTTTAAATTGATATTGTTTCATTGATGTAAAACGAAAATTGATTTAAGGGTTTTAATTCCCCTGTTATTTTTCTACTGTTTTATGTTTTTTAATAAAAAAATCACTTTTTTATTTCAAGAAAAACCACGACTCATAGCTTGAAAATTCACTTTTTAAACTTCCAAAATTTCTCAAAAATGGCTCAAAAATATGTTGTTTGAGATATATTAAAATCATGTTGGTTTGTTGTTTCTGGATTGTTTAGTGATAAAAATCGCTCAAAAATATGCTATTTTTGAGTTTTGACGAAGTTCCTATGGCGGAACCCAATTTCGAGCGGGTCAACCTGTCAAAGAAAGAAGAAAATAATGCAATAGAGAAATCTCAAGAAATCATTGTGAGAAAGGCATCTTATTTATATTTCTTACTAAAAAGACTCACGAAATCCACCTCAATAAAAAATCCATTAAAATAGTTAGATTTTTGAATACTACAAGATTGTTTTTCCATTGTTTAAAATCTTGATTGAATACCAACGGATTTGGACGGACTCTAAAATAATCTTTTAAAATCCTAATCGAATATCACGTGACTTTTTTTCATTCCATTAAAATTCTAATTGAATACCAATAGATTTTTTGTCCAAAAATAATCCTTTGAAATCCCAATCCAATACACCCCCTAAGAAATGGCTATGTACTTTTATTTATCTCTTTAATGTTTATCTATATTCGCTCTTAAAATAACATCATTTTGACTTGAAAAAATAAAAAATTATAATAAAAAAGACTATTATAACTCTGAAATAAATTATAATTAAAAAAATACTTTGATTTTCCCTCAAAATGACATTTTTTTGAGTTCAATGTAGATAAATTATCTACGTTGATTATAGAAAAAGCGAACTCATTATTTATTTGTTTCTTAATAACTTGTACATGATTATTATTTATATTTATATATTAGATTTAAATATATTCCCTTGAGAAAATAGTAAATCCTTTCCTTTTTGTTAGAATTTTGTATGTATTTTTTCTTAGTATATTGTCACTTAAAAAATAATGTAAAGGTTTAATCTAAAATTTCTCTATTGATTCATCTACGGTGGAATTATAAGAGTGGTAAGATTTTTTCAACCAAATTTTTAACCCAATTTCTAGGAATGTTATACGAACTAGGAGTCTTTGACCCGGCTCGTGAAGGTCTCGTGAAGGTATAGGCTTATATGTCTAAAATTAGTTGTTGGAATTAGATTTGGACTTATATAAAAGGTCTTTTAATAGAAAGATCCCAGACTCTAATTCAAAAATTTAGCCTTAGAGTCTCTCAGGCTGGCCAAGTATACTAACATTTATTTTTATTTTATATTTTTTATACTACTGATAATAGTCATTTCTCACTCCTCAACCCATTTTATTCTATTTTATTGGTTAAATAGACTTTTTAAATGATTTTGTTCTATATTATGTTGTTTGGATATACATTAAATTTATAAATATTTGTACAATTATTAGTGTTGTTGATCGTATATTTTGTTTGGATAAATTTTTGTTATCTTATTTTTTTTAACAGGTTAAATCAGATTTTTATTTTTTGTAAATAAGGCAGGCCACATACCCTTGAAAAAATAGTAAATCTTTTCCTTTTTGTTAGAATTTTGT